ACTTTGACCTAAAAGTCACCTTTGACCAGGTGATCATAAAGGCTGTGATTTAATTTAATGATATTCATATAGAGAAATATAAGTGGTCAAAATAGAATTTATCCCTAGTATTAATTGAAAGATATTACTGGGCCCTTCGATGAGTAAGATTGAGAAAATGTTAGGTTTGAATATTGCACTTATAGTGATGTGTACTGTGATAAATTGGCCTAGAGTGATTATAGATAATATCACTTATGGTAAAGGCTAATTTTTGGTTATAAATGCAAGATATGGTGATTTGTGTGCATTATGTGAATTTGGAATATTTTGGCCTAAGTGATAATGTTTGGTGAAACTTTGTGAAATTAGGCTAAAATACTATTACAAGTGCATGTGATGTTCAATAGATGTGAAATGTGGTGATCATTTGGCCTAATAGCGATGAGAAGTAGAAGTGTGATGACTAGCCCTATTATATGATATTGGGGCAAAGGGTGGCCAAATCTTAGTTTTGATATGCTATTAGTTGTTTATCTATTTAGTTGGGTATATAATGATCCATTAGACTTAGTTCAAGCCTAAAAATGAGTTAATGATATAAGTTTTGAGATTTGAGTACTTAAATGACTTATATTGGTTATAAAACTTGACTTTTGCATCTAGGTGGCCAAATCTCACATATGGTGTCAAATCATAATGAAAGTTTTACCATATTGTAAAATAAACTTCATGTGGCTACTTAAATCACTCCAATCGGACATCGAATGTAGAAATGGTGCATATCAGAAGTTCGTCCTTAAAAGCTGTCATGACAACAAAATGCTGTCATAAACTAGAACATGCACCACGACATATAGAACCGTAATGAAATTGAGCCCTCTATGCTGTATGCCAAGCATATTGACCACATGCTGCGGCATAAATGCCAAAATGTGCAAAAATGACATTGATGGCCCTGTTTTTAGGTATTTTGCTTTCCAAATTTTTCCATGCTTCCTATATGTTTAAAAACTATTAAGTTTGAGCTCAAACTACTTATTTAAAGGATTTTTATGGGATCCTAAATATTTTAAATTATTTTTAAATGTTTAATTGGTTTAATCGTTTTATGTTTTTTGTAAGCCTAAGAGTGATTTATAACTCCTAATTACCATTTTATGCTATAACTGTATGGTGATAATAGTAATGTTAAGGAAAACATTATAATTTGGTATCAATTTCTTAGGTTTTAAGATCTGATATACTCTGCTTGATGTAATGCATTCATATATAGTAATTGGCAACTTATATACATTCATTATACCACTCTTTTCTTTTGTCTTAGAATTTATATGATACTCATCCCTAATATAGGTACTTTGTTCCTTAGGAAGGGAGAAAGGTAAGTCAAAACCTACTAGAAAATCCTGAATCAATGCTGATGGAGTAACCGGTATGTGATCAACTAAGAAGTTGAGGTAGTGATCCTCTATTAGAAGAAATGTGGGAAATATTGATTGATATCCAGAGTAAGGTGCATGAACATAATGCTTTTCTTTGAAATCGAGGTAGTGATGAGAGAAAGACCATAGATGATGAGGGTAGACCATAGAACTTGGAGAAATTAAAATAGGCTTGTCTTAGTTAGAAGTAGAATTAGTGGTAGCAAATTACAGATAGCAGCAAGAGGAGGTTGTGTAACTAAAGTTAGGAAAAAAAGAGATACTAGTGGGAGATTTTCATCTCATTTTAGACCTATAAATGGGATATCTAAGAGAAGCAATTGTGGCTTGAGCCAACTAGGGTTTTAAAAAAGAAGAATTACACTAGAAGGTTTTAAGCTCAAGACTCGATGTAGAGAGGTGGTGAAGCAAAAAGTATTGGGCCTTTACTACTTTTACCTCAAGCTCCTATTACATCTACTTTTACTAGGGGTGCTACATGTCCACTACAATGCATAAAGTATGACAGATTTTGTTGTGGGAGGTGTTGGTAGTGTTCTAGATATGGCAAAGTAGGCCATTTAATACAGCAGTGTCCAGAGCAAAAAGCTAAAGCAATTGAGCAATCTACCACATTTGGAGGAGTGATGAAACTATCTCAAGAAAAGGATAAAGTATCTCTGAACTTAGTTCAAGGTAAAGATTCTTCCTTTGCAATTAAAGAGTAACTTTTATTTGATTCTAGTGCTATGCATTATTTCATTTCTAGGGAATGTGTAAAAAAAAAAAGATTACAACATCTTTTGTATGAGTTGTTATTTATTGTTAAATTGGCTACTCTGTGAAAATCATTTGATAAGGTTAGTGAGGTGAGTTAAGTGTGAGGTTAAGTTGAGGATTGTTCGACCATATTTGACTTCATTCGAATATTTATGAAATGGTCAGATTATAGAGATTGACGCAGATTGTTTTATCATAATCAAACCACGTGGCACTATACTAGGAAGACAATTTTACTATTAGAACATACAATATCCATAGTATATCCTCAATTAATCAAGTGGAGAAGCTTATACCATGATGTTGTTAAGCATACATTGTGTTATTCTCGGTACATATGTTTATAGTTGCATAATTGCCAAGATTAGCTTGGTTTTCAATCAGAGTGGCAAAGCAAAAGCGATGTGGTGCCTTGAACTGTACTAATCTCTAGAACTCTGCCTTAGATATTACCATTTGAGTTATCATAGTTGAAGCAATAGATTGAGGGACTTTTAGAGAGGTTTTCCTAAAACTAAGTGTACACTTTGGTTTGGTTTAAGAGTGAGGTTTAGAGTGTGCCAAAATTGGCCCTTAAGTCTATATGATAATCAAGGAGTGCTAGAAATTGGCCCTTGAGTCTACATGAGGGAGTGCCAAAAATTGGCCTTTAAGTCTACATGGTATTCAAGGAGAGCTAAATGTTGGCCCTTGCATATGAGATTTGAGGTGACCTAGATGTTGGCCCTTCAGATATGGGATTCAGGGTGAGCTAGATGTTGGCCTTTAAACATGGTAAGAATTTGAGTTCCAAATCAATAGCATGCTACAAACTAATAAGTTTAATGGATGCTTCGAGGTGTGTCACTTTAAGAGTCACTTATGGTAGTGGTCAAAAAGCGAATAGGTACTGACTACGATAGTTAAGTAAGGTCACAGTGAGAAGAGTACCGTATGTTAAGAAATAGTGATTTGTCAAATAAATTGACGAGAGCATCAATTTTCTTGAAGATCACCTAGAGTTTAGAATATTAAAAATAGAGGATTTGTGTGGATAATGTGTTGAAAATGATTTTCGATGTGAGATATAACCACCACAAGTTTATAAAAATGTCATTCAGGGTAATGAATATGCCAATGGATCTCATGAAATATAACAACTGCATTTTCTAATCGTATCTAGATTTGTTTATTATATTAATTCATTGACAATGTTCTAATATACTCAAAACAAGGGGTAACATACAAAGCATTTAAGGATGGTGTTGCAATTCTAAGAGATAACAAGCTCTATGTGAAGCTTAATATATTTGAGTTTTGGTTAGAAAAAGTCAAATTCTTGGTGCATGTGTTGTCTGTAATGTCCACCTTGACATTATAAAAATTACCACACAATCACAATAAACAATCATAATTAGGAGCAAAAAATTGCTCCTAAGCTCACATTATAAATATAAGGGTTAAAACTAATAATCCTTTAAAAATAATTGTGAAATATTTGGGATTCCATAAAAACCCTTCAATTGATAGTTTGAACTCAAACTTAATAATTTATATAGGTATTGGAAGCATGGAAAAGTTTTGGAAAGCAAAACACTTCAAAACAAGGCCAAAAATGTCATTTTTTGAGTATTTTGGTCAATGCGCCATGGCTCCTGGTCTATGCACTGCAGCTTGTGGCACAAAAAGTCAAGTTTTCTCGCTGTACGTGTATCGCAACTTGCGCAAAATGCACCACGACGCACATGTCCAAGACAGCAATGCTGTCATGATAGCTTTTCTAGAAAAATTTTGAACGCATGCCATTTTCACATCTAATGTCCGATTGGAGTGATTCAAGCGCCCACACGAAGCTTATTCAATAAGCTAACTAATGGCATAAGTTTCATTACAATCCAACATCGTATGAGAATTTTAGATGCTCAGAGGAAAAAGTCAGTTTTTGAAGCGATTTTCAAGCAGCTAACACTAGTACAAAAATGACTTTTTACAGCGGTTAAAAATGACTTTTTACAGCAGTTAACGAGACGATGTTGTTCCAGGGGATGTAAAAAGTCCCTCTTTTTACATCGGTTATAAACCCGATGTAAAAATTAAATTTTTTACATCGGTTATAGAGCCGATGTTGAAAGTTATATACAAGAAAATTAAAAAAAATTTACTTTAACTTTTTACACCGGTTGATCCCAACCGGTGTAAAAGTGCACCTTTTACACCGGTTGGGATTGGAACCGGTGTAAAAGGTACACTTTTTACACCGGTTATGACCATAACTGGTGTAAAAAAATATTATATTCTACAACGGTTGTGGTAATAACCGGTGTAAAAAGTATTTTATTTTTTTTATATTATATTTATTTTATCGATTTTACCCATTCCTGTGCATAGAAATTGCCAAATCAGACAGCCCAATTAATTTACAATTGTTTATCAAGTATTTATCAACTATACAAAGCTATTTAACTATTAAAAAAACTAATAATTGTCTAAATTGTCAAAATTGCCATTCCTGTGCATAAAAATTGCCAAATCAGACAGCTCAATTCATTTACAATTGTTTATCAAGTATTTATCAACTATACAAAACTATTTAACTATTAGAAAACTAATAATTATCTAAATTGTGTCAACTATCAAAATTAAAACATGTCTAAAAGTAACAAAAAACCTCACAAGTTCTCCACAAAATAGGTTGCCCAACGTATGCGGATGTCTTCAATTTCAGCTTCAGAAAATGCATCCGAATTGTCGAACATCTAAAATTTAATTCATAAAGTAGGCATATTAATCAATCTCAAATAACATAATAAAATAAAATTTTTAAAAATATATATATTTACCTCTTTTGTAAATTCGGTCATGCCTAATGTGATAATATTGAGCATGTGCCTCATGACATATAGACCGCACAAGTTCGTCCTCACCGGTTGTCTATGACTCTATATAAGAACAAATCATAAAAAATTAGTAAGAAATCTTAATGGTTGAATATATTAATAAAGTATAGCATCACCTTTGGCTCAATCCATGTGGGATCCTTGAGCTCATGTCCATGCTTTTGTAAGACTACATTTTGATATGTTCTCATTGCCCTATGATCAAGATTACCAAGTTAGTAAAAATATTCAAAAAAAATTAAATTAAATAGTTTAGTAAAAGTATTCTTACAAGTCTATCGTCTTCTTCATTTCTTTCCCAAGTTTGTAATGGAGGGAGCATAAAAAGACGACAGTGTTGCTCTTCATTGAAAGAACAAATAACTGCCAATGGTCCCTGCTAAATATGATACAAGTTAAAGTAAATCCATATTAAAAAACTATTAATTATAAATTGATCCTTACGAGTGCACATATGGAGCCATAAAAACGTCCTTTTTGACTTCACATATTCTCTGTTGGAGGTACGCGGCCCTTAACTCTGGAGTATTACCTTTCTCTGTCATGTGATGAGGGCAAAGGAATCCAAACTTATCACCTTTGCCCGATGTAATGCACAAATGATGAAGATACCTACAACAATGCAATTATATTAGTTTACTAAACTTGATGATTAAGTTTACTTACAACAATGCAATTATATTAAAGAAAAATATACTTACATCATAAATAGTTCAATGTGTGGTGTGGTAAGCTGATTATTTGACAGAAGTCGAACCAAATCTTCCCGTTCAATTGTCACTATCATGTCTTTCTTGCCCACAACCTCCGGATCCATTTCTAAACTCTTGAACTCGAATGATAAATCATACGCCATTAAAATCATTCGCTGATGCGGAGTCAACGAGGGTTGTGGAAGCTTTGGGAGATTCGACGAGGAAAGCTTCTACATAATAAAAAGACAAGAAATAGTTAATAAAAAACATATATTAGGAAGTTGCTACATAATAAAAATTCATGAAATTTCGTACCACAGCTTGAACTAGATTCACAAGTCTCTTGGGCCATAGGATAAAATTGCCAACAGCTTCAACCACAGTCTTCACCTCATCAGTAGGGAATGGAACCAAAGCATCTGGCACTTTTGGATCTGCAACCACCACTCTTACTTGATCATCTTGAATTTGCTTGTGGTGGATGGTTGACCCCAAGCTATAGATGCTACCAAGAGCAACCAAGCGTTTATCAGGATCTTCTAGAAATATCTCACATGGTTCACCAATGTTGTCACCAGAAGGACCCTCTGACACATGCTCAAGAATATTACTCCCTTTTGTACTATGAAATGCAGGAGATGTATGAACTGGTTCAGCAGTTGTCTCCTGTCGTGAGCTCATCATGCTCATCATCTCCTCCTTCATTTGCTCTTTCATTTGTAGAAGCCGAGCTTCAAATGAAGCTTCAAACTCATCCTTAGTCTGTTGCCTCACAGTGGATATCAATGTATCAAGCTCTTCTCTAGTCACTACACCTCCTGAATTGGGACGTGCAGGTGCTCCAAAGTAGTCCTTAATGCCCACACCATATCCAACGCCCCTCACACGACCCGGATGCTCTGGCTTGCCTGTAGCAACTGTTAAGATATCATTTCTGCCCTCTGAAATGAAGCTTCCTTGGGCTTGTTGCTCCTTAAGAGTATCCTATAATATAAAAATAACAATATTAATTAATAATATATACAATTGTATAGAAATTTAAAGGGACAAGGAATAATAATTTTACTTACAATCCTCTCGGCAATCTCCCGTGCTGTCTCACTTGTATAGCCTCCTTTCTTGTACTGATGTCCATATCTCCATTTCTCCTCTCGAGAGACAGGTGATGGTGGAGAAAGGAGTATGGAAGGATCAGACTTGGCTTCTTCTTCTCTCTTCTTCTGTTTCTCTGCCATCAGTATATCATCAGCTCTAGCATAACCTCCACGAGATAGGGTGTGGGGGCATTGATTCTGCCGAGCAATTTCTCGCCCTTTAGCTCGTTTTTCCTGTTAATAAATTGAATTTTAGATTTATAATTAAAGTAAATCTAAATAAAACTTAAATAAATTAAAAGTTAACAAACCATAGCCTTTTCAGAAGTCCGAATCCTGACAAATTCTTCCCAAGTATCTTCATCAAGGAACTGGTATGTATCAAGAGGATTGGGACGAGCCTGACCCTCTGGCACCTCGATAAAGATATATCTTCTAGCAAGATCAGTCTTAAAATTTCTCCAACGTGTTCCACAGTAAGAAATCAATTTGTGTCGACAATCTTGATTAGATGGAACATCGTATGTGAGCTACAATGAAGACATAAGATAATAATCAATAATTGCCCAATAATATATAACTATAAAAAAATTTTAATTTTTAATTACTTACCTGAATACTTTCCCAAATCTGTTCCTTCACACGTTCTGGCACATCAGGCCAGTCCTCAAACACAATAGGAGGCTTGGTACGCGATAGGAGGCCAAGAAAACTAACAAACTTGGCTTTATGTGGCCCTATCGGATTCCATCTCCGGTCAAATTGAATTGGTAACCTACGCCCAGCACTCCTACTTAATGTCAGATCTCTTAATCGTGTGCCACGTCTCCCCCTCCTCACAGACTGGCTCTGACTCGGCTCCTCACTAGGGGTGCCCTGACTTAGCTCCCCACTAGGAGCAACATCACCAATTGATTGGCTCTGAGTGTCATCACCTTGATTCTCCATATTCCTATTAATTCAAATAAATGAAATTAATTAAAAAAATAATCAAAGATAAGATAATTAAGAAAAACAATCCCACAACATAAATTTAATTGAACTAAATTAACATACTTTAATTTCAAAACTAAACTCATATAGGGATATTCTCCCATATCCCTTCATGGTGATCACTTCTTATGGCATGTTCATCATCTACTTCATCTACCACATCCAAAATTGGTAGCCCACTTGAGAAGTTAGGAGTTTCAGAAATATCAAAATTTGATTCATGATCGTCATTACTATCAATCATCCTTTTTCCTTTAAGTGCTATTGACCAATTTTTATTTGCTGGATCCGTGACATAGAAAACTTGTTTAGCTTGGTCTGCCATAATAAATGGCTCATCTCCAAAAGTTAGTTTTTTAAGATCAACCATTGTAAATCCAAACTTATCATCACGAATACTATTGACGTCAACCCACTTGCATTTGAAAACAGGAACTCTAAATTTTGTATAATCAACCTCCCAAATCTCTTCAATAACCCCAAAGTAAGTCCTGGATGCTAGTTTAGGTTTCATATCTTTTGAACTAGAAAAGTGTACGGCTTCAGCCATTATCATAACTCCACTATTTTGCACCGTACTCTTCTCATCCAAAGACTTTGTATAAAAGGAATACCCATTAATATCATAGGCACTCCAACATATAACATCAAAGTTAGGACCTCCAGCCAACCATTTAACTGTTTCAGAAACACCACTTTCATTCAAAATTTTCTGCTTGAACCAATTCACAAAAGTCCTATTATGCTCTTTCAACAACTTTTGTTCTGTCATTCTCATTCGATAATTTTTTGCCTTTAAAAGTTCTTTATGAGAAGATATGTAATCTTTAACTTCATCAATATTATTCAAGATATATAAATGTGCTTCTTGTAATTCATCATGATTCATGCTCTTCACTGATACTCCACGTGTGCCTTGACCATATTGCCTTTTCTCATGACGAGATTTAGGAAGTCCAATTGATTCTGTACTTGACAAGTAATCAGAACAAAACTCCATAGCTTCTTCAGCAACATATTTCTCAACTATTGATGCTTCGGGTCGAAATGGATTTCTGACATACCCTTTCAGTATTTTCATGTATCTCTCAACTGGGTACATCCATCGCAAATAAACAGGGCCACACAATTTTACCTCCCTTACTAGATGCACTATTAAGTGAACCATAATGTCAAAAAATGTAGGAAGAAAGTGCATCTCAAGTTGGCACAAGATAGTACAAGCTTCTTGTTCTAACTCTTCCAGTTTACGGGGATCAATAACTTTACTGCATATAGCATTGAAAAAGAAACAAAGTCTGGTTATTGTAAGTCTTAAATCTTCTTTCAATATGCCTCGAATAGCCAAAGGTAATAGTTGTTGCATCAAGACATGGCAATCATGAGATTTTAAGCCTACCAGTTTCAACTCTTTCACAGATACAAGCTTCATAATATTTGAAGAATACCCCGAAGGAACTTTGATTCCATGTAAACACTCACAAAAACTTGTTTTCTCAGATTTGCACAATGTATGAGAGGCTGGGGGACAATAAGTTCGTTTACCTTCTGGTCTTGGGTGTAAGTCTTCCCGTATTCCCATTTCTTTCAAATCCAATCTTGCATTCACACCATCCTTAGTCTTACCTGGTATGTTCAGAAGCGTTCCAATAATACTATCACACACGTTTTTCTCCACATGCATAACATCAATACAATGCCTTACTTCAAGATTGCGCCAATATGGGAGGTCAAAAAAGATAGACCTTTTTTTCCATATGCTTTTTGCACCAGTATTCTTTTTAGTCTTACCGAAGACAATATTAATGTTTTTCACACGTTCATATACTTGATCCCCAGTCAAAGCATCCGGAGCATCATTGTGTTCTTGGTGACCATGAAAAGCTTTCTTCAATCTACGATATGGGTGATCTCGTCTAAGAAACCTCCGATGGCCAAGGTAGACTGTCTTCCTTCCATGTTGAAGTTGATGGTAGTTTGTGCTTTCTTCACAAATTGGACAAGCTTTATGACCTTTCACGCTATAACCAGACAAATTTCCATATGCAGGAAAATCATTTATAGTACAAAAGATCATAGCACGTAACTTAAAATTCTCCTTCTGATTTGCATCAAACATTTCCACACCTACCTCCCACAACACTTTCAAATCTTCAATCAGAGGTCTTAGGTAAATATCAATATCATTTCCCGGTTGTTTTGGTCCCGAAATCAACATGGATAGCATCATGTACTTCCGTTTCATGCACAACTTAGGTGATAGATTGTAAATCACCAAAAGAACAGGCCATGAACTATGTATACTACTAAGACTACCATAAGGATTCATTCCATCGGTAGAAAGTCCAAGCCTCAAGTTCCTTGGCTCATTGCCAAATTCGGGAAACAATTGATCAATTTTCTTCCATTGAGGAGAATCGGCTGGATGTCGAAGTTTTCCATCAGATATCCTCTCATTTGCATGCCACATCAAGTTCTTTGCATCATTAGTATTTGCAAACAAACGCTTGAACCTTGGTATAATTGGAAGATACCATAAGACTTTTGTAGGAGCCCCCTTCTCTTTGTACCGTGGTGCCTCACATTTCGGACACTTCTCCTCCCCTTCAAGCTCTTTTCTGTACAACACACAATCATTAGGACATGCGTGTATTTTTTTATACTTCATACCCATTGGACACAAGATCTTCTTGGCATCATAATAACGATTTGGTAGTACATTGCCCTTCGGAAACATTATTTGAAGTAACTCTAACAACCATGTGAAACTTTGATCACTCCACCCAGCTCTTGCCTTTAAGGTAACTAGTTTTAACACCCCAGATAACAAACTAAAATCAGTGCACCCCGGGTATAGAGGCTTCTCTGCGTCAGTGCACAAGTTATCATACACATGTGCTCGTTCAAAAGCCTCTTCCCCAACATCACGGATCATGTCCTCTAATCGATCTTCATTCATTTCTACTTCATCATCAAGATTATCAACTCCCACACATTGAGATGTGTTACTATAATT